GGCACGGGGGACCGAGGCTGGCTGTGGTCCGCTCGGCTCGCCTGGCTTTGAGTTGGCGACGGCAGCTCTGGCTCGCTTTGCAGTGCACGGCGTGAGCAGGGGGCTGTTAACCCTGCCAGCTTGGAGCAGGGGGTTTACAGAGCCTGGTGGAGGAGGGGATCTATCCGCCCAGTTGCAGGGCAAATAAGTAAGAATGGCAGATTTGGAGGGGGGTGGGTTCTGCAAGATAGGGTGATGCCCCTTCTTATTGAGCAGTAGCTCCTGGCTGTTGGACAGGCACGTTCCTGGAGTGCTCCAGGTCCAGCCCATCTGTGCAAGCTCCTTTCCACCTCCATGCACCCTATTTCTGATTGGGGGGTGGGTGCTCAGTCTCCGTGAGCCAATCAAGGGCCAGCCAGGCAGGGCCTCTTGTGCTTGTAGTTTGGTGAGGGAGACAAACTGGCCTGGGTGCTGCTTCCGGGAGTCACAGAACAGCTGTCGGACTCGTGCCTTGCCAGCGTGTTCGATGGCTTGTTCCCGGTACCCTGAGCTAGCCCGCTCCTCGGGCAGCGTCCTTCTGGGCCGTCCTTGTAAAGTCTGGGACTCGGATGTGGGTCCGACCAAGCGGAGGAGAAAAGGGAAACCGAATTCCCACAGATCCCTGTCCTCTCTGTAAGAGGCAGCTGTTCTGTAAAAAGCACCTTGTCTTTTTGGGTGGGGAGACTCTGGTCTGAACTGTCTGGATGCTCCCGTGTTCTGCCCCACGCCGGACTCTGCCGTTCACTGGCTATGGCTCGTGGAGCTGGGGCTTGAGGGGTATCTGCTCTAGGGATGTTAAATATCGAGTAATTGACTATTTGATTAGTCGGTAGGGCGCCTCTGTCTTTTAGCTCTAGGTCTGTTGCTACACTTGAAAGGCAAAAGCGCCGTGTGGAGCCCAGGGTCAGCGGGGGACTCTCCTGATGACCCCGGGCTCCGCCGCTTTGAAACGCCGCATGCAGCCTGGGGACACCCCAGCTGGCCGGGCTGCATGAGGTGTTTCAAAGCAGTAGCGCCACATGGAGCCCGGGATCTGGCCCCAGACTCCACACAGCACTGCTGCTTTGAAATACCCCCTCCTCTTCTCTCCTCTCCCCCCCTCCCCCCCCCCCCCCGCTCCCATCACTAGGCTGTCGACTACTCATTGGTGATAGGGATGTACAGAGCTGGCCCACCTCAGCAATTCCTGCCCTGGGCATCTGGGCACTGGAGGGAGCAGAATGTTTGGGAATCTCGCCCGATTCTCCCCTCAGCTGATCACCGCAGAGCGCTCTGGGGAGCAGGCGCTTGGAGCTCTGCCCCACAGCGGGCGGGTGTGCTTGGTCTTCTCTGGGCTATCTCAGGCTTGGAAGGCCAAAAGGGGGGGGGGGGGGTGAGTTTCATACTGGGCAGACCTCTTGCGTGAATGGATGCGCCGTGGCAGCCCTGCTGTAGGCTGTGCACAAGGGGGCGTGGGTGGGTTTGTCTGGTTAGAACGGTTCTGTCTGAGCCCCGGGGCGCATGCACGTGGCTCTTAGAGCGGTTAGCGTTGTTCTGCAGCACCTCCTGGAAAGAGGGGGTGCTGTTTGCTATTTGCTGGGGTGGGCATGGGGGCTGCAGGCAGGAGCTGTGTGCCTGTCTGCACCCCCCTGCTGGGAAGTGATCATTCCCCCTCTGTCTCGCCGTTTCAGTCGGACTGGACGCTGCTGGTAAAACCACCATCCTGTACAAGCTGAAGCTGGGCGAGATCGTCACCACCATCCCCACCATAGGTAGGGCTGGAGTGGGGCCATGGCCCTCGGGGTTCAGACCAACCGGACTTGTCCCCTCCTCCCCTCGTCGGTCAGGCTCACGGGACTCTGTTGTGACAGGCATGGGGTCCTGTCATGCTAGCCTGGGGGTGGGAGGAGAGGACTGTCTGACCCAAAATGGGCCTGGGCTCCGGCTGGTTTCGTGGGGCATTTGGCACCCCACAGAACACGTCATTGAGGCTCCTGGGCAACGTTCGCTTGGATTTCTTCCATTCACGTGCGGAATAATTTTTGTCACTTGCACTGAGGCATGTGCAAATGTGCACCATCTGTTACACAACACCTAGCTGTGGGCGCTCTGCTAATCAGTTGGGTGGCATTGGGATGTCTCCTGAGTGGCTGCACAAGCGCCCAGCTTGCAGGACTCGCTGCCTCTGGGTCCTGTCTGCATCACTGGGAGGCGAGTGGCGGGCGGGGTCCAGTGATTAGAGCAGATCTGGCCTCTATTCCTGGCTCTAGGAGAGGAGAGGGGTCTAGTGGTTAGAGCAAGGAAGGCTGGCCGCCTAGATGCCTAGATTCTATCCCTGCCTCTGGATGGCTAGAGAAAGGGGGAGGAGGATGAACTGGGAGTCAAACTCCTGGGCTCTTTGCCCTGCTTTGCTGCCCTGCTGGAGGCAAGTTGCTGACTTAAAAACACATAAGGACGGCCACACTGGGTCAGACCGAAGGTCCATCTGGACAGTACCCAAACCCACATGCCCCACAGGGAGTAAACAGAACAGAACCCTCAAGATCCCTCTGCTGTCGCCCATTCCCAGCCCCTGACAAACAGGCAAGGGACACCATCCCTCCCCATTCTGGCTAATGAGTGATGGATCTAACCTCCATGATGGACCGTCTGTGCCTCAGTTTCCCCATCTGTACAATAAACCTGACCTGCCCCACTGAGGTCCCCCGTGCTGTATCTCAGGCCAGTACCCAGAGACCCCGCATTGGCTGGTGCTGAGCAGTGCCCCTTGCTGACAGAAATGCCTGGGCAAAGAGGATTGAGCTCCCTGCCGGGCACAGGGCCAGACTGCGGCTAACCTCTTCCCCCATTGCAGGGTTCAACGTGGAGACAGTCGAGTACAAGAATATCAGCTTCACCGTGTGGGACGTGGGCGGCCAGGACAAGATCCGGCCCCTGTGGAGACACTACTCGGCGCGGCACAGCCGCTGGGAGGGGGACCTCTGGGCAGGCGGGATTGTTGTACAGGGATCCACTGAGCCTCTCCAGATTGGAATAGGACGTAGCCACGGCTTCCACGGCAAAGAACCTGGTGGACCTAGTCCTGTGGGCACTGCTCCTGCCCTCCCCTGGTCACAGCAGCTTTGGCCTTCCCAGCATTTCGTGGCTGCCCACTGACCCGGGATGTTAAATTGCGTCGAGTCAACAAATTGACTGGTCGACCGCAGGGCCACAGCAGGTTTGCTCCCGGCTCGAGGAGCTATAATCCCACTGCGGCTCTGCCTTTAAATCTATTAGGAAGTGCTAGGCTCTTCATGCTTTTAAAAGGCTGGAGTGCAGCGGAGAGGGAGGGGAACAGGCATGAGCTGGGACAGCTGATTCCTGGCTCTCACCCGTGCCTCTGCCTCCCCTGCAACCCACAGAGATGGTGCTTTTAAGCCGGCTCCCCCCAGCACCGGCTCCTGCTCCCCTCCCCTTGCTGCCGCTCTCTGATGGAGGCAGCAAGGGGAGAATCAACTAGCCGAGTTCCTTTTTGATTACCCGATAGGCCTATGCTTGCCGGCCAGTTGCTTACATCCCTACCACCGACCCCTTCCTGTGGGGGTAGCAAGGTCACGTAGGGGGGAGATGGCTAAAGATTCTGCAACGGGGGCTTTGGGAAAGTACCCCAGGGCGTTCCCCGCCCCCACGATGCTCGGCCCGAAGAAGCACGCCAGCCCTAGTTGCTGACTTGGAGAAAGGCTTTGGAGAAGAGATGGGGGTGGGCAGGGCTTGTTCCTTATAGTGGGCCCCGGCAGTGGCACAGTGCCAACGGGCTGGTGTGTCTCTTTCCTAGGGGCTCATATTTGTTGTGGACAGCAATGACCGAGAGCGAGTGCAGGAGTCTGCGGATGAGCTACAGAAGATGGTGAGCGGGGAGTGTGGCTTGGAGCGAGACACCAGGCATTCAGCCCTGGGGAGGGCAGGTGGAGCATACAAGTGCGATGGGATCTTCCGGGTGGGAAGGCCTAGCGGCCGAGGGGTAATAGGACATGGATCTAGGGCGCCGGAGGCTCTCTAGAGCCCTGAGTCAGAGTCCTGTCTGGAGCAGGAGCTCCAAACGAACAGGAAGTTTGCGTATCCCCAAGCTTAGACGCCTAGATGCTATTGCAGCAGACACGCCTGCATTCAGAGGTCACCTATGCAGGCCTGGAGATCCCTGGTGCTGGGAGTGAATTGAACGTTACTGCTTCCTCGCCGGCGGGGGTGCCCAGTGGTCTACCTTGGGAGCTGAGAAATGAAGTCCGTGTCCCTCCCGCCCCCTCCCCGCCCGGAGCTCACTGCTCCGATTGTCCGGACAGTCGCGAGGGCGGGAGGGAGGCAGGCTTTGGGTTGCCCCCATTGTAACAGCTGGGGCGCTGAGAAGGGCCTTGCCTGGGGTCTTCCAGGGAGTCGATGCTAGCGGTGGGAATGGAACTAGATTTTTGGAGTCCCGGATCGGTACTTCCGGGGCTGCCTGCCCGCTCCGCCCGGGCTGAGCTGGCTCGGCCTCCCCTCTTGCAGCTGCAGGAGGACGAGCTGCGGGACGCGGTCTTGCTGGTGTTTGCTAACAAGCAGGACATGCCCAACGCCATGGCGGTGAGCGAGCTGACGGACAAGCTGGGCCTGCAGACGCTGCGCAGCAGAACCGTGAGTGGGGTTGGGGGCCGGGGGAGAGACGGTGTGCTGCCTGCTCCGTTCCGACCAGCGCTCCAGGGCTCAGCCCCCTGAGCTGTGAAGCTGGGGCAGGGCTGCGGGCCGAGGCCTGGAGTGCGGGTCTCCTGCAGGATTGAGAGGCGCCGTGGCAGAGGGGGCGTGCATGGAGTTTGCACTGTGCCTGGCCCGGTCTCTCTCGGCACCGAGCTGGGGGTTTCCCAGCAATTGTCTCGTTGGGCTGGAGAGACCTGGAGACCTTGCTCGCTGACGAGGACGTGCTCCTGCGTGGATACAAATGTCTGCCTGTGGGTAGACGTCGGTATTCGTGATTGGCAGGGCTCTACTCCCGACAGAGAAGAGCGTGATTCCCACGGCTCCTGGGCGCCAGCGCCCTGCCCTGGCAGCCCCTCCCAGCAGTGCTGCTG